CCCATCTTCAGATTATACTGGTGGCTTGTGCCTCCTCTAGAACAATCCCTCCATCACCACTCCTAAAATTTCTTTACTGCATTATATTATTGTAGAAATTGGCCACCAAAATGTTTGGACTTTGGTCTGTGTGTATGGGCCACCTTCAAGATGGGAAAGGAAAGAATAATGGCATGAACTCCTCCAAATTACTACAAGCATAACCGCCCCTTGTCTTTGCATCGGAGATTTTAACGCTATTTTAAGTCCATCAGAGAAGATAGGTAGCAATATATGGACTAGTGCTCAAGTTGAGATTTCAAGAACTTTGTTGACATGGCAGACCTCATGGATCTTGGTTATGCAGGGCCGACTTTCACTTGGTCGAATAAACGGTAAACTAACTTGAATGTTAAAGAAAGACCAGACCGTTGTTTTGCCTCTCTAGATTGGAGACTTGATTATCCTCGTGCAACAATACTCCGTCTCTCAGCCACCAGTTCTGACCACTATCCGATTCTTATCTCTCTCTGCAGTAATGTAAAAAAGAGAAAAGCTGGAGGCAAGATGGACCAATCATCCTGAATTCACAAAAATTCTCAAAGATGCATGGTCTAAAGGCAAAGACTTCAACAAGACATGTGTTTTTTCCCAAAAGCAAACTTAGAAATGGAAGGCAAAAACATATGATAATAGCGAGGAAAAAATTTGTGGAACTCCGGCTGGAAATTGGTGAGATCTAAAAACTACCTCCAACAAATGAGAACCTCACAAAAGAAAAGGTCATGCATGATAATCTCTAACAACTTCTCAATAAGGAAGAGTTGCGTCGGAGGCAATGCTCTAGAGTCGTACGGGCGGTAAATGGAGATCACAAAATCAAATTTTACATTTTTGTGCCATGAACAGAACCAAAATCAATAGGATTTCATCAATTATGTAAGAGAGCGGGGTGATTTCATCAAATTTTACATTTTTACTCTAGCATCTTTGCATCATTAAAGTCATTGGGGCCAGATGGTCTTTCTACATTTTTCTCACCACTCTTATCCAAGGCTTCTTCGGAACTCTTAATTACCTTCCCTACAGAAGCAAATTAACCACACTTTCATAGCTCTTATACCCAAGACAACCAATCCACAAACTCCAAAAGACTATCGACAAGGTTGAGTGGAGAGCTCTTGACTTCATTTTACATTTATGTGGTTTTGATGAGAATTGTAGGTCCCTTATTTATAGGTGCACCTCAATGGCTATTTTTTTTAGTGCTTGTTAATGGAAGACCCAAATGACACTATACCAATAAAAGAGGACTATGACAAGGATGCCCTTTACCATCGTTTCTCTTTCTCACGATCACGAAAGCTCTTTCCAAGATGCTCGAGCAAAATAAGAATCTCGGTTTTTTCCATGGCCTCAAGATTAGTGCAAATGGACCATCAATCACCCATTTAATGTTTGCAGACGATATTCTCTTGTTCGGCAAATGCAGCATCATGGAATGCAGAGTGCTCAAAGTCACGCTTGAAACCTTTGCTAGCATCACCGATCAATAAATCAAATTTGGGAAGTCCTTCATCCATTTCAGCTCCTCAACGACTGATGAAACAAAGCATGAGATTAATGCAATTTTCAGAGTTCAACAAATGACGTTAGAAGATAAATATTTGGGGGCTCGCATTCTAAACAAATCAGCTCAGAACAGGGACTTTGAGGAGTTGCTTGTAAAACCTAAATGATTGGTTGGAAGGGTAAGGTTCTATATCCTAAGCGGGTAGAATTGCATTGATCAAGTTAACTTTATCTTCTCTCCCTATCTATCAAATAGGAACCTCGCATTTTTTGAGAAAGGTGTGTGATAAGCTTGATTGAATTTGTCGTTTCTTCTTGTGGGATCATACTCTTTCCAAAGAGGAAAATGCATTTTGAAACATGGAAGAAGATTCAAACTCCTATATTTTTTGGTTGGTGTGTGTGTGTCGTCGGGGGGGGGGGGCGGGTGTCTATGCAGGAACAGCCAGTCATGAAGCCAACTAAAGTCTACTGGCCAAGCTCACTTGGAATTTTCAAAATGAACAAATAGTCTATGGGCTACTTGTTTCACAGCCAAGTATCTGAGAGGTGAAGACTTTTAGTTAATTTCCATTCATTAAAATGCTTCACCAAGCTGGAGACTAATTCTTCAAGGGCATGATATTATCAAGATGAGATCTTCTTGGCATATTGTTATTGGCAAAATAATTGATGTATGACATGATATTGTTAACACACAATTTCCTATTCGCCAGGTGTGTGATCTTATGATACCCTAGACTAGAAGTTGGAATGTTGATCTTATTCAGGCCACCTTCACAAGTGACGTTGCTGATGCTATTTTGAATATAGAGAGCACAATTTTAGAGGAAGATGATGAGTGGATGGGAAACCGCTTGCGGTGGCAACACTCTTCAGATGGGGTTTTTTAATTCAAACTCTACTTACATGTTGCTTTGAAAGAACAACCAACTGAATGTCTCTTCGTCAACTCAACTAGGACACATTTTTCAAGGTTATATGTAAAGCAAAATAGATCCCTCCAAGAGAAAATTTTTGTTTGGAAGACCTTGCACAATGGCCTCACAACTCGAGGCGTGCTATCTTGGGGCTGGAATGCAATCTATAGGAACTTGCTCCTTACGTGAACTAGAACAAGAATTCATTGAATATTTTATTTGTCAACTGTGCTTTTACCAATGATCTTTGGTCCAAAACTTGTGATTCCTTCTTGGTTCCAAATGCCCAAACTTTTTGTGGATTAGCTTGTTTCATGGACTCAACATTCTTTCTCTTCAATGGAAAAAATGTATTCAAGCTAGCACTTGACTTTGCTACTACAGTGTCCTGGTTCATTTGGAAAACCAGATGTGATAAGGTATCCAAAGGCATTAACAAGTCATCAGCTACTAATTTAACACTTGCCGAGGTTTCTGTACAACAACTAACACCCAAAATGATAGATATTTGTGCTTGCCTTAGCTTGCATTCGCCGAACACTTGGTCACCTCCTCCATTTGGTATGATCAAGATTAATATTGACGTCACCATTCGAGTTGATGCTTCTGCTTTTGCGATTATTGCCAGAGATCACTTCGGGAAGAATTTGTTATCTTTTGGCGAGTTTGGTCCTTCGTGCTCTTCCATTTTCCAAAAATAATGGCTCGAGGAGTAATCAATTAGAATGTGACTCCTTAAGCTTAGTTCACATGTTCCTTGATGTCGTGCAAATCCCACAAGCTTTGATTTGGTTGATCGGCAATGTTAGCTTTTGTTCAAAGAATTTACATCCATCTCAGTTAATCATATTCGAAGATCCGGCAATACTTGTGCGCACATGCTTGCTCAATTTGCTCTTAAATATAAGTGTACCTGTCTCTCTGATCTTCCTAGAAATCTAGAATGTATCTGAAATCAAATTTTATATGAATCAATACAATAGATCTCGAGGAACTTTTCTGTTCTAAAAAATATATAAAAATATATATTATAACCACCCCAAAAAAAAGAAGAAGAAGAAAACATGAATAAAAGATGGGTTGTCAGGGACTTTGTCCTTTGAAACGACTTGAGTTCATTGATTGTTTTATCTTTCCCCCCCTCTTATTATTATTATTTTATGTTTTATTTCAGTTTATTGTGATTACTTCGGGTATCAAAAACATCATCAATATTCTTCCATGTGACAGGCCCAATAAGCCTGCCAATGATGCGATCACATAAATCAAGTAGAGTATGTGGACCAATTAACAAGAGCTCACTCCCATCCTCCCACCGTCGATGAGGGTCGCCGGCGCCGGCGCCGGCGTCAACGGCCTCCTCAACTTCTTTCCCGTCGGCGATCCTCGACCTCCATCAACGTCATTGATTGCTTGTATGTAGGAGGTGACACGCCTCCATTCACCAACTTTTTCTTGTATGCGCACCAACTGTTTGTTGAATTTTTCTTCTTTTTCTTTGGAGCTTTTTTTGAAATGCTAAAGATCTCTTGGGATTCTTCTAATTTTTGTGGTACAAGAACCTGTCTCCATATCTATAATGATTAACTCATGCTAGTTGAATTTATCTGAATATATATTTTTTCCTTTTCAAATTTCTTACATTCTAAAAACTATAGCTCATTAGTGAATTGGAGGAAGAATTTGATTATTTACTCCATGCCGTGGTGCATCTTCCATCACCAGTTCACCTGTTAACAATTGCACACCTTGATTGGGATTTGAGAATGCCCTCATTGATCACCAAATCTACACTCATGATTTGTGTTTTAGGTTTGAAGTCATGAGACTGGCAGTTGCTTTATGAATCAAAATATTGGCAATTAAAAAGAAACATATAAAAATGAATGAGTGTGGTTTAAACAAGAATGTTCATCGTCTTGCGAATATACACTAATCATAGAATAAGAAATGAGTGGCTTTATAGGAGATTAGAGCTTACTCCTATTGAGAATAAAATGAGAGAGAATCAGTTGAGATGATTTGGTGACAACATAGGTCGCTAAATGTGCCAGTTAGGAGAAGTGATAAAATTATAATTGATGGAGCAAAGAGAACTAGAGGTAGACCTAAAAAAACCTCGATTGAAGCAATTAAGATGGATACAATAGTACTTAACAGAGGAGATGACCGCCAATAGAACTGAGAAGAACATGATTCATGTAGCCGACCCTATAAATTTAGAATAAAGGCTTTGTTGTTGTTCTTGTTGGTGAAAACTAAATCTGAGCTGAAAATAACTTCTTTGAATCTTGCGACAAACTTAAACACTAATTCTGTTATAGAATGAGTGTAAGTAAACTATAGTAAGATTAGCTAAATAAATACTACAGCTACTTTTTGAGGTTACCCTCTTAATTGGTCCAAATAATACTTGTATGTGTTACATTAAGAAGTTTCTGTGTATATTTGTGGTCATTTTCCAATGAGAAAGAAGAAATGCAATTTATAGTTATAAATTTAGTGAAAGAAGAAAACATAAAGGGCATCAATAACTATTATCTGAGTGATTAATACAGGTAGATGCATGCCTACATCCATTAAAGCACCATAATTATCTTTGGTTACTAGCAATTCATTGGCAACTCTATTGCCAATACCTGCACATTATACTTAATGTTACCATCATATAAAGGGACCTGGGGATAATCTTGGTGCGAGAATGATTTCTAATGAGGAGAGATTGGGAATATCTGCGGCTAAATAACGGTCACTAGGGGCATGACCTGTCGCTCGCAGTTCAAATGCTTGAATCAAACGAGCAAGTGTAAGGTGCATCACTTGCAGTGAAAATGATATCCCCGGGCATGCTCTCCTGCCAGACCCAAATGGAATCAGCTCAAAGTGCTGGCCTCTCACATCAAGTGGGCTCTTTGTCAAAAATCTCTCTGGCTTGAACTCATATGGGTCTGTCCAGACACGTGGGTCTCTTTGCAAATTCCAAATGTTCACAAGTAGTTGGGTTCCTGCTGGGACATGGTAGCCCTGGATTTGGCAGTCTTCTACAGCCTCATGTGGCAAGTTTGTTTTCGATGATGGATACAATCGGAATGTCTCCTTGATGACTGCCTGAAAGTACACTAGGTTCTTTATGTCAGATTCTTTAACAAGACTGTTCCTGCCTACAACTGTGTCCAGTTCCTCTTGGACTTTTTCTAAGACGTGTGTGTTGTCCAGAAGGGCTGCTAGGGTGAGTATCAGAGAGTTTGTTACGTTGTCAGCGCCCCCACTTATCATAGCCTTTACAATAGCAGAAAAAATTATGAGCAATTATTATATCGTCAAACATGATATAAATTTGAAAAATTACTAGATGAAGAAGAGTATAATGCCCTTTCAGTGGTCTCATATTTTTTTATAAACCCCCATTAATAAAATATATTCCCAAAAAAGACAGGATAAGAACCTTTAACCTCATTCTACATACAAAAGTGTTACTGTTGGACTAAATCTAATGTGAAGTACCTATAACTGTATACACTTTCATGTAAGAACTTTAAGCAATTATTATGCTACTTCTATGAAGAAACAAACAATAACTTGCTTCAGCCCAGAGTAGTTATTTTGAAGCTTTTTCTATAAGTAGTGTACGAGTCTATGTTACCTGGGTACTTCTAGTTTGAAGCCGTACCCGTTCCCGTACATGTACCCAAACTCCTTAGACACTCCTTGCATATATGCATACATTTATTAGGGCATGTACTTAATTATACAGTGCATGTTTTTAATTTAAAACACTTGTCATATATTTTGTGGACATATATCCTACACTAAACATCCATTTCTTCAATCTTGTTGGTCATAGGTCAGGCTCCGGATTATGTATTTGAAGGGTCAGTTGGATGTTTAGTTAAAAAACCAGTGTTTTTCCAATTTATAGTCCACATTATAAAAGAAACATAAAAATATTATAAGAAATTTAATTCTCATCCCTGTTCTCATATCAATTATTAATTCCAATATAAAATATATCTGTATATAAATATTTATCTAGGCGTGTCCCCCTACCATACATTGTACAAATTTGCTATGTCCCAGACCAGTATCCGTACCCGTACCAACATAGGTATGACTTAACAATAACACTTCAACAGAATGTAACTACTTATTAGTACATCATATTTACTTTTGTCAGGAACAAAGCAATTTAATACAATTTTGTTTCTTTTAATGGAACAATAGTATACCTCTGTTCTAAAATTTCTGGTGCTGCAGTTCATTAGAATGTACTATCTATATTCTTCTGCCTTTTTTTAATGATTCGTGACATTTCAAACTCTGTTTCTTATAGTGATATTTAGTTCAAATATTTGCCCTGATTGTCATACACTATGCCTTAGAATAGG